CTCGCCGACGAGGCGTTCGCCTGGAGAAAGACGTGAGGCCTGGCGCCCGGTTGCAGGCTCAGCGTCACGGTGATGGCAGACATCTCCCTCCGCGGGCCGTGGACTCAGCTCCTGCCCCGGGGCACGGGTCTACTGGGACCTCTCGGAGTCCTTTGCGATGTCACAGCCCGGCCATCGGCCCCTCACGAGGCCCTGGCTCAGCTCACAGGCCACAAGACACCCCGTTCTGATTCAGAAACTCGGGGCGTGAGCCCCACGGGCCGAGCGTGGGGCGCTGGGATCCCCAGGAGAACCTGCTGTGCCCGTGGACGGGCTAAAGGCCTCGTCGTTTCTCAGAGGCGATGGGGAAGGATTGAGGGGAGCCCTGAGCCCACTGGGCACCTGCCCGGGGGACCCAGCGAGGCTTCGCGCTCAAGTGCTGTCGGAGGCTCCCTGTGGCCCAGACCAGAGCTCTCTGAGGTCCCGGACGCCAAGGCGGAGCGCGTCAGCACCCCCATACCCACCGGAAAGTCAGCACCTCCACACCCCCGTCACTCAGCGTGAGCATGAGCTCAGCCTCCAGCCCGGCGCCCCGTCTTCCTGCCGTGGGGGCGCAGCCCGTGGAAGGCGAGCGGGGGCTCGGAGCCCTGCGGCCTGGCTGTTCCTGTCCGGAGGGGCTGTGTGTCCTGACACCCGCTTGCAGGGACAGTCCCCGCCTCTCTCACAGCCGCGGGAGGTCTGGCCCCAGCACAGCAGGTGCCAGGACGGCAGTGTGTGTGTGTGTGTGTGTGTATTTATTTGCAGCACACGTGTGTGCGTGCGTGTGTGCCTGTGTGCACGGGTGCATGTTACGAGCGGGTTCCCTCTGGTTCTGTGGCTGACGCGGCTCCCGGCTCCTCGCTCTGGACACAGCGCCCCTTGGACTCAGGTCTCTGCCCTCGAACTTTCCACGTTTACTGGGATCTGCTCCCAGCGCAGCCGCAACCATGGACTTCTCACGCCTCCTCTGCACGTGATCGCGTGCAGCCCACCCTGCTTCTCACAGAAGCACCCGGCGGCGTTGTTCCCGATACCGTCGGTTTATTGTACAGATCGTTTTATACGCCAGCCCGTCCGCCTGGGCCCGCGGTGCCACGCAGACCCGGTGTCTGCCAGGGCCTCCCCGAGGGCACTGCCTTTGCTCTGCTTCGAGGCCTGTTGGTGCCGTTCTGGGTGGTGGCCCTGGAGCCCTCCCCCCAAACCAAAGTGAGACGGGGCGTGCCTCCGCCTGTGCCCTGCAGAGCCCCGTGCGGGGCCCTGCGCGCCGTCCTCGCTGCGTCCCCTGAGCTGTCGAGGGAACCACGAGATGCTGTACTTTCTACCGAATTAAACGTGGGCCCCGACGGGGACCGGAGCGCAGGCTCCTCCTTGCTGTGCTGAGCCCTCGGGGTTCTCTGGGGTTCGCTGTGTGTGACTGAGTCGCCGGGGAGGTCAGAGGTCAGCCTCCCCTGCCTGCTCCCTAGGGTGACCGCGGAGGGGGGCAGGATCCCAGAGAAGGGTCCGGTGTGACCGGGGCTCTGCGGGCCTGTGGGGGTGAGGCCCTGCCCCGACCCCAGACGGGCCCAGTGCCGGGTTCAGACGTCTGGGTTCAAAGGTTGAATGGCCACAAGCCCTGCCACTCCCCACAGGCTGCTCCCCATCCCGCCGCCTGCCTGGCTCCGGGGCTGCGAGTCTGAGACCCCTGTGTCCCTGTGGACACTCAGGTCCCGGGGCTGCCCTGCGGGTTGTCTCAAGTGTGGGGTTTGGAAGGCCAGGCCATCGCGGGGCGGCAGGGACTCTGGTTGGTCCCCCAGTTCTGGAGAGACCACTCTGGGGGAGCCTCTCTCTCGCCAGCGCTGCCCCCCACGGAGTGTGTTGGGGGAAGGGGGGCTGGTGAGTCCAGGCCTGGAAGTGAGGGGACCCCATCTCTTGACAACAGAGGCAGGAGTGGCTTTGCCCAGCAGCGGACGTGTCTAAGCAGAAAGGGGGTGGTGGGTGGGG